AAAAATAAATATATATGTGTGATATTTAAGAATTTTTCAGAATAGCGTTAGGCTATTGTCAGTTGTGACACCACTGTAACCTGTGGCATGTCATAATCCATGCTCAAACCTTGATCTCCTAAGCTCCCTTTGGCCTGACAGAATGTCTATGCATCGGAAAAATAGCAGTGTTTTTGCTTTTCTTTTTTTTTTTTTTGGTTTTTCGAGACAGGGTTTCTCTGTGTAGCTTTGTGCCTGTCCTGGAACTCACTTGGTAGCCCAGGCTGGCCTCAAACGGAGATCCGCCTGGCTCTGCCTCCCGAGTGCTGGGGATTAAAGGCGTGCGCCACCACCGCCCGGCTTGCTTTTCTTTTTTTCCCCCTGTGCATATCCTTTTGGCTAAAGCCAAACTACTGGTACTACTACTACTTCTTCTTCTTCTTCTTCTTCTTCTTCTTCTTCTTCTTCTTCTTCTTCTTCTTCTTCTTCTTCTTCTTCTTCTTCTTCTTCTTCTTCTTCTTCTTCTTCTTCTTCTTCTTCTTCTTCTTCTTCTTCTTCTTCTTCTTCTTCTTCCTTCTTCTTCTTCTTCTTCTTCTTCTTCTTCTTCTTCTTCTTCTTCTTCTTCTTCTTCCTTCTTCTCCTCCTCCTCCTCCTCCTCTTCCTTCTCCTCCTCCTCCTCCTCCTCCTTCTCCTCCTTCTTCTTTTCACAAATTAAAAATTGTGCTTTTCTAGGGGGCTGGAGAGGTGGCTCGGTGGTTAAGAACATGGCTGCTCTTCCAGAGGTCCTGAGTTCAATTCCCAGCAACCACATGGCAGCTGTCTGTAACTGTCTGTAACTACAGTTCCAGAGGATCCAACACCCTCACACAAACATACAGGCAGGCAAAACACCAATGCACATTAAATAAATTTTTTAAAAAATTGCTTTTCTAAAGAGCCAGCTGAATGGATAGTCAGTGCTTTGATGTTTTGATGGATAGATATCGAGTGTTTTAATGAAAGGCTTTCATTTCATAAGCAAGATCCCAATTTAACTTCAGAATTTAACATCAGATAACTGCCAAACAGATGCTTTGTACATGCAGGTTTGCACATGGACAGAGTGATGATGGATCCCCGCTTCCCTAGATAGCGGATGAGTTTGTAAGTAAACATCGCTGTAAAACACAATTCAACATTAGATGTACTAACTGTGAAGTGAAAAGTACCCGGAGTTGGGAAGATAGTGTCTTAACTTTTCTGAATATCGTTCTGAGTCCTCAGCTCATACTTTTGGATGTTAGAGCAAGGGCAGCACTTTGAAAGGGTGAAAGACCCGGAACACCACTAAATAACTACAGCATAACTGGTGGCATCTGGACGTCTACATGGCACAGAATCCTCAACTCGGAGGCAGCCATCAGCTCATTTGCTCTTTCTCTCATGTCTTCGTGGCTGATGCCTCCGTTATGAGCTCTGTCATGCCCACTAGGTAAAATCCTTGAAAATTCTAACAAGGTATCTTTTTAAAAAGATTCATTTTTATTATTATTATTATTATTATTGTTATTTTTTTTTTTTTGGTTTTTTGAGACAGGGTTTCTCTGTGTAGCTTTGCGCCTTTCCTGGAACTCACTTGGTAGCTCAGGCTGGCCTCGAACTCACAGAGATCCGCCTGGCTCTGCCTCCCGAGTGCTGGGATTAAAGGCGTGCGCCACCACCGCCCGGCTCATTTTTATTATTTTTAATTGGTGTGTGTGTCTATGTACCTGTGTGTGTGTGTCTCTCTCTCTCTCTGTGTCTGTGCTTGTGTGTGGGTATTACATGGGAGTGCAGCTACCCAGGTCAGAGGTACTGGATTCCCCTGGGAGCTGGAGTTAAGAGTAATTAATTGTAAGTCAACCAATGATGTGAGAACTGAGAATTGAACTTGAACTTGAATCTTCTGCAAGAGCAGTACGTGCTCTTAACTTCTGAGCCACCTGTTCAGCCATCATAATACATTTTTTAAAAGGTGTGCTTTATTTATAATTATGTGTGTCCTCTGTGTGTGTGTGGGGGGGTATGTCACATGAGGGCAGGTGAATCCCTGAAACTGGAGTCATAGGTAATTGTGAGTTGCCCAGCTTGGGTGCTGGTAACCAAACTTGGGTCCTATGTAAGAGTAATATGCACCCTTAAATACTGAGCCATCTCTCCATACCCCATGGTTTTTGTATGTATGTATGTTTGGTTGGTTGGTTTTTTAGCTCAGCCATTCACTTCTGCTTTAGGCTTTCCAACTTGACCTATTAATTGTCCACCTGACAGGTACCTTACCTGTGTAAACTTCAGTTTTGACAGGTTAGGTGGTAATAGAGAGATATCAATTCTACCACACTCAGGAAAAAGGAGAATTAAGTTGGCTTTTGTAATTGAAGAAAGTGTTGAATGAATAACCAAATTATAAGTTAGGGAAAGATACATTTAAGTCATGGGAAACCTGTAAGGAAACATAGAGGAAGGTCAATACTAGTTATATGGGCAGAAAACTAGCATTTTCTAGAAGAGGAGCATGAGGCAGACCATTTACAGATATCCCCTACATTGCAAAAAATCAATATATTATTTATCAACCATCCAGAAAACTCTGTGGCACTGTAGGTGGGAAAAATCTGGGGGTACAAGCACCATGATTACATGTAATTGGTGAAGGTATTGCAACAGTGCACCATTGACACCTTCTAAAATTTGCCCTGCAATACTAATTCTAAATAGTCAAAGGGTTTACAAAAATGGCATTGTGATAAAAATATTTTAACTCAGCGCAGTAATTATCTGCTCCCTTTCACCACTCAAAAACACAAACGGCCCTTTGGGCACACATCCAATCTCAGCACTCCAGAGGAAGAATCAGGAGGATTTTGAGTTCTAGACAAGTTGTGGCTACATAGTAAGTTCATGGCCAGCCTGGCCTAGGGAGTAAAACCTTGTTTCTGAACAGTAACCAACCAACCAGCAACAACAATAATAACAAAATACCCGCAAGTAAAAGGGAATACGAATATTTGATGTTTTTCTATTTTGATTTATACATAGGTTGTAAGTATTTTGAAAGCAGCCTAATGATACAGTCTAAGGAAGGATGAAAATGTCAGTGTGCAGTGTAACAGTTTCCTCTGATATTAAAACATTCCATTCTGCAGGTAAATTCTTTAAGACAGAAAGTAAATGACTCAAAATAGTTTCAGGAAGTCCCTGAAGTTGACCAGATTCACTAGACCCCTCCATGCCAGAGTAAGCAATAAAAGCTGAGAGTCCCCCTCAGGGGAGCATAGCCAAGCTGCAAAGAAGACTCTCAACCTAGTCAAGCTGCAAAGAAGACTTTGAGACCAGACCAACAGTCTGGAAGAAGCAGAAACCAGCCAAGCTACTTGGAAGAGGGTTAGAGCTACTGAGGCACCTGGAAAGGACAGTATCCAACCTGTTGAGCTGCCTGCAGGCTGTGCAGTGTGCCCTAGGCTCTCAGCTTTGTGAGCTGTCATGCATGCTAGGATGGGCTTTGGTGATGCAGCTGTCTCTGAGTCATTTATACTACTGTAAACAACCCCTCATCCACATTCCTGTAAATAAATCTCAATAAAACTAATTGGTCCTCCAAGTTGAACTTTGGTGGTATCCATGCTTTGGTCTGTTGTGAGTCCCCGATCTAGGGTGAATAGATGTGTGTGTTGTGTCTCCCCAGGAAAGGTTTTGTCACACAACACAGAGTGAATGTTTCCTGACTTTCATAATTTTGTTAACAAATTTCTAAAACATTAGAGTAGCTGAGAAATTTTGCCATAGGAGAAAAAGGAAGAAAAACCAAGCAAATAAGAAGAAATATACTTAAAAAAGAATAAAATTAGTGGTGTGGGAGCAGAAAAGGCAAGCGGAAATTATTTTGGGACACATTTTAAAAATCAGATCTGTATGTCATCAGAACAAGGAGACTACAGAAATCAGAGTTCATAGACTTCATTACACTTTCATCATAATGTTAATATCAATCCTATTATTGCTATATGGTCATGTGACTGCCAGTGGCAAAGCTAGAGTCTAAATGCATGTTCTCTGGCTGCAAATTGCACTCTTTCTCTTACTCTGTATTTTCTTCCATTCAGGCTGTTTGTGTGCTTCCCATATGCTTAGATTAAGACACTCTACCTCCAGCACCTAGTAGCTAAGAGACCACAGGCAAATTACCTTAATCTCCTTAGGTTTATATTACTTACCTGTACAGAGGAAACCATGACATCCTGTCATTATGGAGATGCTGAAAGGTTAAATAAGGCAATGCTCTTTAATAGTAACTTTTATACGTATAAGCCATTGTTGCTAAGACTTATAAAGAAAAAGGTTGGCAAGATTGCATAGTCAATAAGCTTTATCTTTGAGGACTAGTAGGAACCTCAGTTGGAAATAATTGCTCTCTAAATTAGACATACTGTAGGCCATCGTTGAGTTATCATTACAACCAGTTTATGTCTCCTCATCTTGCTAAAGGTGTCATGAAGTGGATACATTCAGAGCAGATTAACAATATGATTAATGTGTTGAGTAGATAAGACCTGCAAGAAAAGATGGGCTGAGAGTGGGAATTCATTAGTCTGGAGACAATAGCTGTCTCTTAATACTTAAATCATTATCAGAAAAAGATCGATCAGGGGCTGGGCGGTGGTGGCGCACACCTTTAATCCCAGCACTCAGGAGGCAGAGGCAGGCGGATCTCTGTGAGTTCGAGGCCAGCCTGGTCTCCAAAGCGAGTTCCAGGAAAGGCACAAAGCTACACAGAGAAACCCTGTCTCAAAAAAGAAAGAAAGAAAGAAAAAGATCGATCAGTGTGGTGGTTTGAGAATGTCCTCTGCAGGCTCATTATTTGAACATTTGGTGGCACTGTATGGGGAAGTTTAGGAGGTGTGGCCTAGTTGGAAGAAGTATGTCACAGGAGGCAGGCTTTGAAAATTTGAAAAGTTGTGCTGTATCTAATGGCTGTCTCTCTACTTCACCCTTGCAGTTGTGGACGGGAGCTCTCAGCTTCCTGCTCCAGTGGCCATGCCTGCCGCTTGCTGCCATGCCGTCTCTGCCATTGTGGAGCTAACCCTTACTTACGGTAGGCTAAGTCAATAAACTCTTCCTTCTTTACATTGCCTTGGTCAGGGTGTTTCATCGCAGCAACAGAATTGTAACTCATGTAGCTATTTTTCTTCCTGTTCTTTGAAAAGTAACGTGAAAATTATTATGGAAGTATAGTGTAGATATGAGAAAGAATTTGCTGGTACAGTTGTTTGTTAAAGACTAAAGTAGGCTATCAAAAGACATGGAATCTCCTTTGTTAATGACTTCTCCAAAGAAAAAGGGGCACAAATCAGTTTTGTTTGGTCAACAAGAGATGCTTGCAGTCACAGAACTACAAAGGCTCAATTACTGGGATCTTCTTTCAAAAGCTCTCTGGTTAATTCCCTTAACTAGCATAGAAGATGTAGAAGTTTTTTCTAATTATTTTTATTAAAATATGCAAACTATGTGAATGCATTACTATTCTACAGTATTTTAAGTTGATGTATTCTTGTTAATATGCTTGTACCTAAGCAGGTAACTTCTGTAGTACTTGTGTAGATACCCATGAATTTGTGTGGACTTTTGAAAATAATGTGGTATTCTGTAGTGCAAATTCTAATTAATCTTAATAATAAAAACCCAGAGTCAGATATCAGGGTGAATGCTGAGAAATCAGAAAATAAAGGAGCCAGCCACTAGAGAGACGGCTTACCTCTAGGAATCCTCCGACCGAAGGGGGGCTGAGCTCCTGTCTCCTCCTGCCTTATGTTACTGTCTCCACCTCCCTAGTGCTGGGATTAAAGGTGTGAGCTTCCCATGTGCTGGGATCAAAGGCATGATCCTCCCTAGTGCTGGGATTAAAGGTGTGAGTCTCCACTTCCAGGCTCTGTTTCTTTTAGACTGGATCCATCTCTTGTAGCCCAGGGTAGCCTTGAACTCCTGGTCTTCCTGCTTCCTCCTCCCAAGTGCTGGGATTAAAGGTGTGTGCTATTACTGCCTTGCCTCTATGGTTAACTAGTGGCTAGCTCTGCCCTCCAATCTCTAGGCAAGCCTTATTTGTTAGAGCACCAAATATCACCACAGTACCCTTTTTGTGAATATAGTTTCAAGTAACTTGAATGTAATTTACTGTCCTTTTTGTCATTTCCATAAAGCATTGTGTCTATAAGGTCTCGGTTATTTCCCACAGTTTTGTAGCCTTCAATGATACACAGCATGTCTTCCTTTCTATATGTTTCTTTAGTTAGGGGATGGGAGGATGTTTCAAATTCCCTGTTCTCACAAACTGTGGTGTGAAAACTACATTATTTTATGTGCTCCATTTTCCTTCCCTTTCTTGTCACAGTGTGATCAGGTAGTCATTCCTAATTTGGGCAATTATTTTGCCAGATTGTTCTACAAAATCGTAGCAAGCCGTTGAGAGGAGGCTCTGTTTCCTTATCCACATGTGGTGATACTGAACTGGGTAGTTTCTCATCCGCTGAGTGGAGGGCAAAATTGAGTAAAAGAGTTACTCACTTCTAGTTTCCTTCTTTACTTATTGAAGTTATATCCTTGTAATGTATTATTACACGTTACCTTTATTCCTATATGTCTAAGGTTTTCTGTTTTATTGACTCCAGGCACATCCTCTATGGTCATAGCTGTTATTCCCTTGTCCACTCCTGGTTTGTTACATTCATTTATTAGTCTATTATAAGTGGCACTTAGGCCGGTAGCTGACATCCTTACATTGTTAAGTCACTCCATCTAAAGGCAACTTCCAATTTATTCAACTCTTCTTTAAGTTGTTTAACAGGGTTTTAACTTGCCTCCCAAAAAGGATAAGGTACCTTACTTTATATGTGGTTGTCCCTATAGAAGCTAGCATTATTAGTAATTTAATATACATGTTCTGTTAGTTCATGCCCTTTATGTAGTGCTCATAAATCTCTCAAGACTAAAAGGTGTGTGTAATGTGATCTGTGAAGTATCTACACAGCTCCTGTAAACACAGATAGTGATGTGTTTTGTTTATTAAACTATTTTTCTCTTCCAAAATGCTTCTAGCAAAATAATAAATTCTAAGAGGTGATTCCTTTTCAAACAAGAAGTTGTCCAATCATAATACACTTAAGTAGTAAAGTAACTCAGTTCCTTATTTATATTACAGAAATTATAAAGACTTCCTAATGTGTGTCATACTGTCTAGTGTGCTCTAGGAAGAACTACGATTCTGAGACCACCTCAGGGCAACTGTAAGATAATAATTGTATTCATAATCATTCTAAAATACTTTTTCTTTCCCCACCTTGTTGCTCTCTGTACTGATGATGCAGCAGGAATAATGGTGAAACCACCTGCACTTTTAATCAATCGTGAATCCAGACAGTGCTTCCAAACTGTACCAGTGGACGTGTCCTTCACTGGCCTGCATGCCCAGCAAAATAGTAATGACAGAAGCAAAATGTAATTAAAACATTAGTTTCATTTAGTAGGAATATGTTGAGCAGGCTGTGGTGGTACACACCTTTAATCTCAGCACTCAGGGGGCAGAGGCACGTGGATATCTATGAGTTTGAGGCCAGCCTGGTCTTATGAGTTTCAGGCCAGGAAGGCTACATGGTAAAACCCTGTCTCAAACACTATGTATGTATGTATGTATGTATGTATGTATGTGATAGATAGCATAGATAGATAGCATATCTATGCTATCTATCTATCTATCTATCTATCTATCTATCTATCTATCTAGAGCATGTATATATACACACACACACATGAAATAAAATGTCTGCAGAGTATTTCCAGGCATGTTAGCACATGCCTCTAAACCCAGCACTTAGGAGGCTAAAGCAAGAAATACCATGAGTTCAAGCCCAGCCTGAGCTAAATAGTGAGAATTTCTCAAAAAACAAAACAAAACAAAATAAATAAATAAACCACAAATCTTGCTTTGGAATGAACAGAGACTCATTTTATTAAATCTAAATACCTAAATGTATGTCTTTTTTTAATTTTAATGATAAAACAGAAATTATGCTTGGTATGATAGTCATCTTAAGAAAAACACATCTGCCACTAAAAAAAATTGCCGTTACTAAAAACCGAGGCAACCATTTGTTTTCATGGAACATTAGTACAATGTGAGAAAACAACTGGCAGACAGATTTAAGGCAAAGGACTTTGGTATTTTGCAAATGCTTTCTGAAAAAAATTTTTTTAATTGAGTCAAGTTTAAAGCTGTCAAGTAAAAAATAGAACTTTGTAGATTTTTATACATCCCATGAGCATGACAGCATCCAATATTTAAAGACTTTCCTGAATGCGTAATTTTTTTAAAAAAATAAATATGTCAACATTTAATTTTTTTTGTGAACTAGTGAATAAATATTTTCCAAATGGCCAATGTAGGAAGTTACAAAATCATGCTAGATAAAAGACCCATTCAAACATGAAAATCAACTAATGAATTTATCCATAAAAATTAATTGTTGTGGTTCAGATTCTGTATTGCATGTAACCTTTAAGGACTTAGTTCTCTTGAGCATTAGCATAATATATGAATATATATGCAGTTATTTAAAGCACTTATTAAACATCTAGTACTAAGACAAATTTCTTCATATATTGTCAGTTGTTTTTTTTAAAACAACTTGTTATTTTGAGCTATGGCCTCCCCCTACGTAGCCCAGACTGGCCTCAAACTCATAATTCTCCTGCTCCAACATCTCAAATAGTGGATTGCAAGCATATGTAACTATGCGTAGCAAATTTCCTTTATATTTTGTAACACAAGTTTTAGGTGACATTTCTTGCAGGAGAGAGAGTGTATCTATCACAGATAAAGAAGGCAATGGCACCAGCTTGGTGAACCAACAAGTTTCATTGGGGTTTCTTTTCTTGTTTTTTTTTTTTTTTATTTTTTATTTTTTGAAACAGAGTCTTACCATGTAACCAGCTGCCTTGGAACTTGCTGTGTAGACCAAGCTGGTCTGCAACTCACAAAGAGCCTCTGCTCCCTGATTTGCTGGGATTAAAGCCTAAGATGCCTGGCTATGTTAGAGTGTCTTACAGGATCCTTGATGACACAGACTGCTGTATCACCGAGGAGTTCCAGTTGGCATGGTTTACAACTCTGAAAACCTGCATTACCAGAGTCCCCTTGCACAACATGCAGTCAGCTACAGCACTAAACAACAGCATCCTCTCCTCCAGTGACTTTTTACTGCTTGCACAGCCTCAGAAAGGTGCCTTGGGAGTCTCAGAAGTTTCATGAATTTCTTGAATCTTAAAAAGTGTTTTTTGAATTTCATGAATCTGTGTCTTTCCTCTGGGAGGGAATGTTTCAATCTGGAGGAAACAACCACACAAGAAGAAGCAACATATCACTACAGATTGACTGTGAATACAGATAAGAGGAACCAGGCAGGATGTGCAAAATGAACAGTAATTCCAGTCTATATTTTTCTGTTTTAAAAAGCCGACTATTCTTCCCAAAATGTTGTTTATGTTAATAGGACATTGGGTTTTTTGTTACTTTTAAGTGAGCAAATACAGAAATACTTTCAAAATCTGTCTCAATTTCTAACCGCAATTAATGGTAGACATAACACACACATACACACACACACACACACACACACACACACACACACACACACACACACACAAAAGAGTTTGGGTCCTGAGTGACTTTTAAAAGTATAGACTTCCTGAGATGAGTAAATGTGAGAACTATCACTCTGAGGACAGAGCACACTTGGAAACAGCATTCTCCTTCTAATGGATGTGTGCAGATATCTTGACACATAAAAATAGAGTCAGATTGTTTAAGAGCATTAAAAGAAATATGATGATATGATGTACTGCCTAGATGTACATTAATTAATTAATTAATTTTTAGGTTTTAGAAACAGGATTTCTTTGTATAGCCCTGGCTGTCCTCAAACTTGCTCTGTAGACCAGGCTGGCTTTGAACTCAGAGATCCACGTGCCTCTACCTCCCAAGTGCTGGGATTAAAGGCATTTGCCACCACCACCCGACTCTAGATGTACTTCAAATCCAATGCC